GGTGGGCTGCTTACTGGTTCAACCCAGTTTGAGCGAACCGGTAGTTTAATTTAATGGCTGGTTCGGTGAACCAGCAAACCCCACCCCTCCCCGGAGCCCCCGCGCCCTCCAAGCCCCTTGGGTTTCCACCTGGAGAAGGACCGAGCCCCTAAAAAGGAACTTTTCTCATTTCGGTAGCGTGCTGATGTTTCCACCCAGCCCCTTTGGGGCATCAAACCACCATCCAAAGCAGTGTTTTGGCCATCAATGGCAGTCTGGGGTGGGTGGGTGGGGGTCTTAGTCCCCCGAGCCCCCTTCCCTTCTTCTCCCGGAGCCTCAGTTTGGGGAAACGGTTCCGGTCTGCTTGCAATCTGGTTCTTCCTGACGGAGGCTCCCCAAGATCACGAAGCCGACTCCTCGTGCCGTTAAAACCCCTTTTGTTCAGGTCAAAGTGAATTTCCTCTCCAGCAAAACCCCGGCCAACCGTCCTTCGTGAGATTTCACAACTACACCAAGCTTTAGACCAGCGGTTGCCGACCAGTGGCCTAGGGATCACTGCTGGTCCGTGAGAAAATGTTGGGTGGTCTGCAGAGAAATGTCACCCCCAAAGCACCGAATCCAGGCTGCGCGGGAACACAAGGCTGCGCCGCCCACATGGCCCGCGGGAACACAAGGCTTGCGTCGCTTGCATTGCGAACAACACGGGGTATTTGAAGGGAGGGGAGGGAAGGGCGGAGGGGGGGAACTTGCCCCACGCACTCCACGCGCCTGGCCTGGCCACCGGGCTGCTACTTTCCGCTTCTTCCTTCTTCTGCTTTTGGCTGCACGCGAGGAAAGCAGCCAAAGTCTTTCTTTCTCTCCCCCAAACTCTGCCAGAAATGAGTCTTTGGGACCCTGCAAGGCCTCCTGCTCCAAGAGGCTCCGCCGGCAAAGACTCATTCCTGGCAGAGTTTGGGGGAGAGAAAGAAAGACTTCTGCGGCTTCTGCTGCTTTCCTTGCATGAAGCCAAAAGTCTCTCTCTCTCTCTCTCTCACTGAGAACAGAGCTGGAGCTGATATCCTGCGATCCCAAAGTAAGAATGATCTATCGGTAGGAAAACAGGGTGGGGGATTTTCCTGCAGAGTTTTTTGGGGGATTTTCCCAGGGAATTTTTAAATCTGGGCTTTAAAATTAGGAGTTTGATGCTCCCTGGGGTCCAAAAGGTTGGTGACCCCTAGACCAGCGAAGCATCCCAGCATTTCGTGTGCCTTCCGAGCTGCCTGCCTCATCGTTCGCTTGTTCTTTGGGAGCGCAGCAAAATCCTCCTCTTCGGATGTCCTCATCCTCTACTCCCCACACTACTCCACGTAGTCCTTGACTTAACGACCATTCGTTTAGGGACCGAAGTTACAACAGCACCGAAAATCGGGACTTACGACTGGTTTTTTTCACACTTAACAACCACTGCAGCATGCAATCCAAATCCAACCGCTTGGCAACTGACTTGTACTCATGACGGTTGCAGTTGCAGATCAAAGGGGAAGCCAGATTCACCAGGCTACTAACTTATGAACTGCAGCGATTCACTTAGCAACGGTGGCAAGGAAGATTGCAAAGGGGAACAAACTCATTTAACCCATGTCTCACTCAGCGACGGAACTTTGGGCGTCATCAGTTGAGGACTACCTGCATGCCAGAGGATGGTTTTGTCCTGTGTTCCTGGGCCTTTTTGGTCAGGAATCACATCTTCCCTCGCCGACATGGACAAACGGGGGGGGAAGAGTAAATGCCCCCCCACACACACACCAAAAGGGCCTTTCAGAAGATGGTTTTCTTGGAGGGGGAAAGTGGCTTTTCCCCCCAAACAATCTTGGTCTCAGGCGGTGTGGCGGGCTTGGTATACTTGAAAAAGCTTAAATTGCACGTGAAAATGCAGGTTTCCTGACCAGACGGGAAGTAAAAAACCAGCACGGCCTTTTCTCTCTTCGTCTTTTTGTTCTGTGTTTTTCATTCTGTCTCCGTGGAAGGTGTTTTAGTTTAATCGCTTGGTGTCTCTGTACGTCTTCGGGGTGGGTTTTGATCGACTCCATCTCTGCCATTTGTTTGGGGAGCTTGCTTACTTACAGATTAAGAGTCGGAAGGGACCTTGTAGGTCATCTAGTCCAACCCCCCCCCCCCGCATGAGACCCTACACCATTTCTGACAGATGGCAGTCCAGTCTCTTCTTGAAAGCCTCCAGTGATGAAGCTCCCACAACTAACTAACTTCCTTCCTTCCTTCCTTCCTTCCTATCAGATTAACAGAGTTGGGAGGGACCTTGTAGGTCATCTAGTCCAGCCTCCCCGCCCAAGCAGGAGAACCCTGCATCATTTCTGACAGATGACTCTCCAGTCTTGAAAGACTCCAGGGATGAAGCTCCCACAACTAACTAACTAACTTACTTACTTTTCTTTCTTTCTTTCTTTTTCCTCTCTCTCTCTCTCTTCTATCTATCTATCTATCTATCTATCTATCTATCTATCTATCTATCTATCATCTGTCTGTCTATCTGTCTATCTATCAGATTAACAGAGTTGGAAGGGACCTTGTTGATCATCTAGTCCAACCCTCTGCCCAAGCAGGAGACCCTACCCCGTTGCTGAGAGAGGGCCGTCCAGGGATGCAGCTCCCACAACGTCCTGAAAGTGAAGCGAAGAGCAAGGGGGAAATGAAACCCCCCCTCAACTCAGGAAGGGCTCTGCCAGGCGAAGGCCTTTTCCCTCCTCCCACCAAAGAGACCCCCGCTCAGCCCCCCCATAAAACCCCCTCTCGGCGGCTATGAAGTGGCTCATTTCTCACGGTCCCAGAGGCTGCCCTTCCCCGGTTCCTCCTTGGCACAGACCCAGGCAGTCCTGCTTCAGGTGGGGGGAGGAGGGTGGCCAGCTGCCAGTAAACCCCCATTCGTGGCTTGCTGCTGTTGCCATGTTGCGTGGTCTCGGTTTGCCTCCGCTCAGCGGTTAGATAGCTGGAAAATCTCTTTCTGGGATCAGGACCCCCTTCTCCCCCTTCCAGCCTGGGAGGGAGCAGGGAAGGCAGCGGCTTCTGGTTTGCCCCTCTTCCTGTCATTAAAGGCATTTTGGAAAACTCCCGGGTGGTTTGTGTTCGTCCGCGTCTCCGCTGCCCTCCGCGCATCCCATCGAAAAGGGGGTGGGAGAGGTCGGACTCTGGATTGGGGGGGGCAGGCAACAGAGGGACCGTTCTGTCCTAGGCCTGCCTCCCAAAAGCACCAAGTCAATTCTGAGTCCTGCCCAAAACCTCTTTTATTACTTGAATGTGAATTTATTTCATTCACAGTCAGCCCACGGCTCGGCCAACAGTCTTGCAAAGGTATTACTAATGAGCTCAGATCTTTATCAATCCTGGAACCTGTCCAGTAAATAGTTCCACACTCCGTGCTGACAAGGAAGGCCTGGGTTATACAGACAAATCTTCACGAGGCCAGAACCCATCTCTGACGCAGGGCCCTCGTCCGGGTCTTCCGCAGCCTCCAGGACTGGCCCAGGTTCCTCCCCAACCTCCTCACTACTGACTGTCTCTGCTGCCAGCTCCGCCGGCCACCAGCGGGCCACAACAGGGCAGAGCTCAGCTCTCTAGCAGGCAGGGAGAATGGTTGATTCTTCATCAACCAAGGGTGTCCATCCTTGGCCCCTTGAAGACTTGTGGACTTCAACTCCCAGAATCCCCCTGCCCGCCATGCTTAATCACCCCAGTTCAAGTCTGAAGGTGCTTGCGCACCACGCTAACATGGAAGGCCAGGACTTCCGCTCCAGCTATGGTGCCCGCAGCTCTTCTCTTTTTCCTTCCTTCCTTCCGAGCCTGACTCTCTTTTTCCCTCACAGTCGAGAAACCATGAACGGTCAAGACTGGGCAGCATCCTTGAGCATCTCACTGGGCCAAGTTGCCTGCGGATTTCTCCACAAGAAGTCGATTCTTCAGGATCTTTCTCCTCCTCGGCCTCAATCAAGCCTCTGATGTTTCTATTGATAGCCGGTTTATTTATATCCATCCCGTTATTCCCTGATGCGTATAGGGGGGGGTTGGACTAGAAGGCCTCTAAGGTCCCTTCCACCTCCATCGTTCTGTGATTGTACGCTTTGATACCTTCTGCTAAGAGGCCCGAAAGAACAGAGGCAGGCAATTGTGGCCCCCTTGCAGCCTGTGGACTACAATTCCCAGAATTCCTCAGAGCAGCCATGCTTTCGGTCGCTGCAGTCTAGATGCTTTAAGGCAGGAGTGTCCAACTCTGGCAGCTTCAAATCCCAGAATTCCCCAGACCAGCCATGCAAGCTCAGGAATTCTGGGAGTTGAAGTCCACAGGTCGAGAAAGGGCCCAGTTGCCCACCCCGCTCCAAAACCTCTTCGGCCTCTGACCTGAGGGACCACAACCCAAAGTATCCCATTTACATTTTGTACCCCTTTGTGTAAACAGAAATACAGATTTCACAGGTGGACGAAGTTAGTCTAACCCTGGATTAATCACAAAAGGCTCCGGCCTGGCCCAAGAAGAGCCAACAAACCCCGCTCCCAAGACTGCAAGAACTGCCCCAAAGGAGCTTTTTTTCTGGACTTTCTGGTAGAATAGAATAGAATATTCTTTATTGGCCAAGTGTGATTGGACACACAAGGAATTCGTCTTGGTGTAAATCCTCTCAGTATTTCTCAGCGGTTTTTCTTGGAAGACATTTCGTTTCTCATCCAAGAAGCTTCTTCCGCTCTGGCAACCATGATGAGGAGGACTGAGAATCTCAACGTTACAAGACCTGGGTACAGAGAAACAAGCAACCTTCTCCCTTGCTCCCTCGCTAGACGGCATCCTTGGAGCTTCACAAGCACAGAATAGCAGAGTTGGGACCTTAGAGGTCCTCTAGTCCAACCCCCTTCTCAGGCAGGACAAACTATACTATTTCAGACAAACGGCTGTCCAATCTCTTCTTAGTTCTAGGTTCTCCTTAGTTCCAGGTTGCTCTAGTTCTTCTCCCTATTTCCAGGTTGCTTCTCCCCTGGATTAGTTTCCGTCCATTGCTTCTTGTCCTGCCTTCAGGTGTCTCAGCAGAGACCCCGGAAGACACCTACTTCTGGCCTCCTTCGCCGTGGGTGAATTGCTTCCACCTGGTGCAAGACCTGGCCGGGAAAACAAGCTCCGTGTCACGCGCAGAACTAGGAGGTATGGGGCACCTGCCAGGTATGAGGCCCCTGCAGTAACCAGGCACAGCCCCAGGAGTCAAAAATACTGCAATGTGAACGTCACCTGAAGCCCAACCAAGCAAAGGACAAGGCGTCTCAGGGGCGACCATGGCTGACCTGCTACGGACTTCGGGGTAGATACAGATTAAGAGAGTTGGAAGGGACCTTGTAGGTCATCTAGTCTAACACCCACCCACCCACCCACCCAAGCAGGAGACCCTACATCATTTCTGACCGATGGCAATCCAATCTCTTCTTGAAAGCCTTCAGGGATGAAGCTCCCACAACTTCTGAAGGCAATTTCTGTTCCAGGGGTTGATTGTTCTCAATGTCAGAAAGTTTCTCCTTGTATTTCCAGGTTGAATCTCTCCTTGTTCAGTTTAAAATAGCTTGACCCCACTCCTCCTCTCTGGGGCAGCCCCTCAAATATTGGAAGGCTACTATCATGTCTCCCCTGGTCCTTCTCTTCCCTGGACTGGCCAGGCCCGGTTCCTGCAACCGTCCATCGTATGTTTTAGCCTCCAGTCCCCTCATCCTCCTGGTTGCTCTTCTCTGCACTTTTTCTAGAGTCTCAACCTCTTTTTTTATAGTGTGATGACCAAAACTGGATGCAGGTGTTTTGTTGTATGTTTCACTGCTCCAGGATTAAACAGGTGAGACAAGCAAGCCACACCTACGTATTTCCTGTTCCTATTTGAACATCTGGGGTGAATCCAAACCTGTGGTGAGAAGGAGGGCCTCCGAGCTAGGCCAGTGGGCCACCAGCTCCTGAAGAATCACTGAAGCTCCGGTGCAAAACCTCCATCTTCACCTGTGGGGCTCCTATACTGGGAATTGCACCAAGTCCACATGTGCGGCCATCCCACAGATTGTGCACAGGGCCTTGCGTTGGAAATATTGATTTTCACTCATCTTGTATAGACTGGGTGAAACCAGGCTCAATAGCAGGAATTGGGAGAGGGATCTCGGAGTCTTAGTGGACATCCAGACAAATAGGAGCCAGCCGTGTGCAGCCGCCGCCAAAAAAGCCAATGCAATCCTAAATTGTATTAACAGAGGGATGCAATCAAGATCAAGGGAGGTACTAATACCACTCTATAAAGCCTTAGTAAGGCCACACCTAGAGTCCTGCATCCAGTTTTGGTCACCACACTATAAAAAAGAGGTTGAGACTAGAAAAAGTGCAGAGAAGAGCAACCAGGATGATGAGGGGACTGGAGGCTGAAACATACGACGAACAGTTGCAGGAACTGGGCCTGGCTAGTCTAGGGAAAAGAAGGACCAGGGGAGACAGGAGAGCAGCCTTCCAATATTTGGGGGGCTGCCCCAGAGAGGAGGAGGGGGGTCAAGCTATTCTCCAGGGCACCTGAAGGCCAGACAAGGAACAATGGATGGAAACTGAACAAGGAGAGATTTAACCTGGAAACAAGGAGAAACTTTCTGACAGGGAGAACAATCAACCCGTGGAACAGAAGTTGCCCTCGGAAGTTGTGGATGCTTCATCCCTGGAGGCTTTCAAGAAGAGACTGGACTGCCACCTGTCAGAAATGGTGTAGGGTCTCCTGCTTGGGGGGTTGGACTAGATGACCTACAAGGTCCCTTCCAACTCTGATTATCTGTTATCTGTTGACCAAGCCAAACTTGGTAGAAGGCGAAGTTGGTATCTGGCTGGTCAGAACTACAAAGTTAGTTGGTGAGACATTTGCGTGCCCAATCCATTATCCCGGCACGCCTGTTTTAAGGCTGGCTAGATCAGAATCAGAGAATAACCGATGCCAATTCAGAAAAATGGTTGTCCAATCTCTTCTAAAAAATAAAGAAACCCTCCAGTGTTAGAGCACCCACAACTTCTGGAGGCAAAGGAGTTCCACCGGTTAATTGTTCTGTCGCAAAGTTTCTCCTTAGTTCTAGGATCCTTCCTTGATTAGTTTCCACCTGTTAATTCTTGTCCTGCCCTCAGGTGCCTTGACTCCACCTTCTTTGGGGCAGCCCCCGAGATACTGGAAGACTGTCTCGGGTCCCTCCTAGTCCTTCTTTTCACTAGACTAGACATGCCCAGTTCCTGCAATTGTTCCTTCTACGTTTCAGCCTCTGGTCCCCTGATCGTTCCTGTTGCTCTTCTCTGCACTCTTTCCAGATTTATTTCTTCATTTATTGAATAGAATAGAATAGAATAGAATAGAATAGAATAGGGAATAGAATAGAATAGAACAGAACAGAACAGAACAGAACAGAATAGAATAGAATAGAATAGAATATGGAATGGAATGGAATAGAAATTAGAATAGAATAGAAATACAGGAATAGAATAGAATAGAATAGAATAGAATAGAATAGAATAGAATAGAATAGAATAGAATAGAATAGAATAGAATAGAATAGAATAGAAATACAGGAATAGAATAGAATAAAATAGAATAGAAAAGAAATACATGAATAGAATAGAATAGAAATACATGAATAGAATAGAATAGAATAGAATAGAATAGAAATGAAATACAGGAATAGAATAGAATAGAATAGAATAGAATAGAATAGAATAGAATAGAATAGAATAGAATAGAATAGAATATGGAATGGAATGGAATAGAAATTAGAATAGAATAGAATAGAATAGAATAGAATAGAATAGAATACTTTATTGCCACTGTCCCTTTTCTCATCGGCTGCACAGCCTTATGGATCCCAGGTGGAAAAGGTGTGTT